ACCTACCTACCTACCTACCCATCTTTCTCTCTATGTGTCTATTTGTCTGTTTGCCTGTCCATCTACTTATCTATTTCTCTATTTGTTTGTCTAACTACCTGTCTATCTGTCTGTCTATCTAGCTTTCTATCTATTTGTCTAGCTAGCTATCTGTCTGTCTATCTGTCTGTCTATCTCGCTATCTATCTTTCTATGTGTTCACCTATCTACCTATCTATCTGTCTATCTATCTATCTATCTATCTATCTATCTATGTATCTATGTGTCAATCTATCTTTCTCTCTCTCTCTATGTGTCTATCTATCTATCTGTTTATCTACCTATCTACCTTACCTATCTACCTTTCTACTTATCTGGTCACACGCTGGGAAGTTACCGCAGGGATTTTTGGAAGCCAGGTTTATGGTGAATGGGTTCTTAACCCACGCCTGCCAGCAAAAGTCGAGAAAGTGCAGATAAATTCTCAGAGGCATGTCTGCGCTGTCTTGACTTTTGCCGGCAGCATGGGTTCAAAGCCCATGGCTTCCCCAAACCCGAGCACTGTCTTGACTTTTGCTGGCAGGCGTGGGTTAAAACAACCCATTTTTCAGACAAAGTTGGCGGCGCCAGAACGAAATCAGCCTTCCCCCCCCCACCTCCCACCCCCTTTGCCCAAGTAAAGTTAAGTAAAGTCCGATCCTGGCAGCGCTTTGAATCCGCGGCGAAAGCCTCCAAACCGCAAAGCCTGCACAAGCGAGCGCAGTAACTTACTTGCGTGTCAGGCCCTATCTGTCTGTCTGTCCGACTGTCGGTCTGTCGGCCTGTCGGTCTTTGGTCTTCTTAGTATTACTTATGCGTTCTTTTATTCTTAGTCTTGGAGTCGTCATTGTTGTTGCACATAGGTTATTGTCATAGGTGGTGTGGCTTCGGAGTCTTGCTGCCACGGTTCGTGTTCTGGTTGCTGTGATGATGATAATAACTTTATGTGTTCTCATGAAGGCTTTGGCTAGTGGTGCAGTGCAATGGTCATTGCATATTTATCGTTATCAAGACTGTATGCTAGCGACTCTTGCTTGTGACTGCAGTGATGACGGTCCATGTTACGGCTGTTTGCTCGATTCGAGCTTCTTTTCGACTTTATCGTGCTCCTAACCTTCTTATGTGCCCTTCCTGTCGCCAGGCTTTGACTGGACAAGTGGCCGCCCACAAGCTACGAGCAGCTGTGGAAGTGTTGACCTTAAGAGCTGAATGTTCTGGTGACACTCTCTGGCTTGCTAAACGGACACTGCGAGGAAGCTTTAGAGTGGTCTCCTGATTTCGATCGGCTGGAGGGCTGCAGCCCGAGCGATGCATGCCGGTGTCACGGTGTGGGGAGGTAGATTCGATTCATGTGCTGCAGGTGCGAAGAAGGTTCTTGCAAAGGAGGAGAAGCAAGATGCTGCACGAGCTGCAATGCAAGGCATCACAATATGTAAACACGCTTTGAGCAGCGCCTCTATGCCAAGAGATTGAAGAGCAGGTGCGCTCATGTCAAGAGATCCGACAGAGCTCGCCGCTGCCATAAGGCCGGAAGACGGGCTCATTGTTTCTAGACACCCTTTTCTGTTCCGCGCCAGGCACGGCAGAGAGGCCGGACTGGAGGCGGTGATTCCAGTGGTGCCAGTGTTAGTTGTCTTTGATGTTGCAATTTCTCTTCGAGGATTGTCTTTGTTCTTGTCTCGGGTGAGATTCGACTAGCTTTTGGATTCTGGGGAGATCTGACAGAAGCCAACAAAATGGATTCGGGGTTTTTCCGGACACGAGAACGCAGTCACGGATTCCGCGCTCTCGGTTTCGTGGCATGAGAAGACACAAGTTCGACTTCACGGTTCTTTTTCCAATGCCAGGTCTAGAAATGACAGGTCTGAGCGATTCAGGTCGATTGTAGTGTGGGTTGCCCAGCATATGTTTGGCGAGCACGCGCATTGCGCATCACTTCGATGCTACGTGCACGCACCCTCCAAAGTCATCTTCTCCTTGTCTGCCCAGTGGGATATGTTTTCAAAGTCGTGGCGTCGTAGTGACTGTTCACCTGCTTAGCGCGATGCCATTGACATCCGGTCCAGTTTTTCATTGGAAGCTCTGTGCTTGTCTGTTTCGGTCAGGATTGGGAAATGAGACGTGTTGTGCCGGTCTCAGACATGAGGAACAAGCTGGCTGGTTCATACAAAGCGGACACTGCCGAGCAAGGAAAAGGCACTTGATGCAATCCGGCGTGACCTCATCGATGATTCTTCCCGCTAGCGGAGCTTTGGAAGCTCACTTCCGTGAGGCGCTGTAAAGCGCTGTCGGGGCTCCTCCGTAGCGAGGGCAGCCTCAGTTAACGACTCGAGTTTCACAAGCCTCGGTGGGATTCACACGGTGCCTGTGCGTGCACTCGCACCGCTTAGAACGTCTGCCTGCGAAAAGTCTCGTGACACCACGCATTCTGGGAAAGGAGCTGGTGGACTTGAAACCTAACTAACCTAGCTCCAGACACAACCTCGAAGAGTAAGGCAACAAGCTTGTGTGTAGCATTTTGGCCTCAGAACCTTCAGACTTTAGACGGAGCTCGCCCTCCAAGCGAAATGGGTGGAAGTGGAAGCAAGGTCGCGCACTGAGGATGCGGAGAGCACTAATGATTGTCTCTTGTCAAGGGACATGACGTGATCCGCGGGCAGGTTACTTGGAAGCACAATGTTCCATCTCCAGCAGATCCATCGCAGAAAAGCGTTATGTCCGAACCGCTGGATGAGTGCCGGCCTCTGCTGGCGCTACTGCGTGCTCGCTCCATGCAAATGTCCTAATGCATGCTGACTTTGATTGGAGTGCTACCAAGGGTCAAGTTCTCTGACGAAGCCTTTTGGTGCCTACGTCCTGTTTGCTGCAGTGGCTGGATCCATCATCCTACTGCACTACATGGTGTACCCGTATGTATAGCCCTATCAGAAGATGTCTACTAAGAGTAATCTGGACTGCGCAAGTAGCATGTCGCCAGGAAGCATCTTGGAGCCTTGAAGCGAGAGCCCCTGCCAGTGCCGCATTCCCAGACTCGATGTGTAGCTTTCGACATCTTTCGACATGTCACAACTGCCGTGGCGCTGCATCAGGCCTTTGTTTGCTAAAGCACTCGGTGTGCACGTGGCCAAGCACGAGGTTACTGCCAAACTCCCAGCATCTGCAGTACCTGCTGCAATCTGAAACTGATTCGGGACGGAGTAGACTCCTTAGCTTTGTTTGCAAGGACAGAGACGATGGGACCTTCTTGGTGACAACAACTATCGGTGGATACTACGGTGGCGAGTGCAGGTCTCAGTAACTTCTTGTCCATCGACTCCATCGACCTGGCCTTAAGCACAGACTGGTTGTTTCGTGTGCTGAACAGTGCTTGCATACTTAGTAGACATGTTCTTCCTTCTGAGACGAGAGATTATGTGGGGTGTGTTTGTTCGTCATGCAGTGATGCAGAGACTTGCCTGCAGGGTGGACGTGAATTTTGTTCACAGCTACGATCCAGACACGAACACTTGGGTCGCCTCCCAAGCTCTGCCACATGTTGTCAATGTAACAGAGTGACTCAGCCTGACAACTGAGATGCAAAAATGCGATCGAGACCCTGGTCTCCAGAAAGTCAGCAATGCCGTGGGATTTCGGCGCCATGCTCGGATATCAACCTCTTTCTCGATATCGTTTTCTCTACGTCGAGCACACGCACGCGCACAAATAGACTTGGAGATGGATCTCGATTGCAACGGGCTACATGCGGGTCTGCAAAGTCGGGGAATTCGCAAGGGGCGCGGGGTGAAGCGATCATGTGTGAGGCTTCACGAGTCTCCTCGCACCGTCCCAGCCTCGGGGGACAACACGACATGGGTTTTGCTGTTGAGGGTTTGGCAGTGCGCTCAGCTTTTCGCATCATGTTGTGCGCCGCAGATTGAAATGTGGGCTGTGAACGAGCCCGCACGCAACTCTGGTGTCGAGGCAGGGCAGCAGAAACACCAGCTGAAGTGCCAAAACTCGCTCTGCCGCAGGTGGTAGCCGGCCTCAAAGGATCCGTAGGCCGTTCTGACTTGGGTGAAGCTTACAAACTCTGTGTCTCTCAGCATTTCTGTTGCCGGTGCAGGCGCTGCGATCTACTCGCTTTCGGAGAAGGAAGTGGATGTTGATGCCAAGGCCGCCTGTCCAGAGTCGCTCCTTGCCGAAGCCCGGTCGCGGAAGTGGTACTTGGCTTCTTGGACCATAGTCTTGTGACGTCGAGGCTTCGCGTCTGCTCCCTGTGCTTATCGTGCATTCTGCCTCCGGCTATTGGCGCATTGGGAAGTTTATTTGCCACTGGTGACACAGGCGGACCAACCATCCAAGGATGGATCTGGCAGATGTCCTCAGTACTTAGGAACATGGTTGTGTCTTATTGTCAAGTTTGGCCAGCTAGGCAAACTGGTAGCACAATCCGGGCCACTTGATGAGTACATCAAGAGTACGGATCTCAGCCAGAACCAGGCTCGACAGGTGCACCGGTCAGCTCGACACCCCAGGTCCTGCCCAGTTCCTTGAGACTGCGCTTCAAGCTGTGAAGGAGGGCAAGGTCCCTGTCCCTGCTGCCACTCCAGATGGTGTGGTCTGATTTGCCGTCCACCCCTACGATCACACTTGCTCACAACTTGTCCCATGCCAGGGTGTGCCCGGAATAGCTCGCTGCTTAAACTGGGGGATTCGTGCATGGCATTGAACCTCGCACCACCACCCCAGTCCTGTCGAGGTGGAGTTTTCCGTGATCGAAGACAACTCAAGCGGTGTTAAGACCAAGGACCTTACAGGGAGCACGGAACAAGGGCTGGGGCATTCATTCGGTGTCTGGTGGGTGGATGTTGAAAGTGAAGCCATGCGGCAGCCATAGCCATGAAGCAGGAAGTCATTGACACCGACGGAAATGGCACGCTGAAGGTCCCTCCGTCAGCAAAGTGGCAGGGGGTCACTGTGCAGATCGCCAGATCGCCAAGGTCAACTACATGCACCATGTCTTTGACATCGGATCCGGCACGGCTGCCTCAACGACGTACAAGGAGTTCAGTATCCGTACCACAGCTGTTTTTGCACACGTGGTAGAACGAGGATGAAACCTACACCACGGCATTGAGCGCTTGGCACACGAAGGTGCTGCAGTGACATCCCAAGGCTTGGTGAGTCCGGATTTCGACTGGTGCCAGGTGCACTCAGGACCTTTGATCATCGAAATGTTCAACGAGTGCGCTCCTCCATCTGACTACATCAGTGTTGACAGTATCTGCTCATTGCTTCTTGCATCCCTGGCAGGTCATTCCCTGTACGCCACGCTGGTGAGGACGTCGTCAGAAACCTCGCGCCTCAGGCAGGGCGGAATGCCTGCTCTTGAGATGGGTTTTGCGAAATCCTTCCCTAAACCGTAAACCCTTTCAGCTGGATGCCTCCTCTGTCTGGTGCTTAGTAGGGAACGGGGGAATGGATCCCTATGATAGTCCCCTAAGGTCCTTTATAGTAGTCCCTATAACCCATTCCCCCATTCCCTACTAAGCACCAGACAGTCCTGAGAGCTTCGGATGTCCGGGCCCGGGCAGGTGGAGCAGGTCCTGGCGAAGGCAGTGGAGGAGACGGCGGCAAGTGGCTAAGGCAGAAGGAAGTGAGCTGTATAATAAGTAAGAATAGTATAATAATATAGTAGACTAATATAGTATAATATACTTTAGTAATATACTATAATAATATACTACAATAATATACTTTTTTTACTATAATAATTTGTTCTTGGATAAGTCCTTGTGAGCTTTGGCTTGTTGAGTGGAGGCTGCCCCGAGTGATTCACCAGGTCGTTTGACGTTGGAATTTCGAACAGCGGGTGCAGTTTTTCGTCCCCGGTAGCTCTGGCTCTCGCAGATAAGTGTGGGAGAGTCACTCAAGTTTTGAAGGGGGAGGGAATTTTGTCACAACGTGATCAACACTGATGGCCTCTTTTGGTTCACGTTGGTTAAAGCCCGCTCCCCTGTTCTGAGACCGAGTCGCTTCGATTCGGACCAGGCTCAGGTCTCCTTAGAGGGCCTTTCAAAGGAATCCCTCCGGATCAAATCCATGTGCCAGCTTGATTTTGCTGCCGGAAGGGCTTCTTCTAGAAATGCCCTGTTGGGAGGATGGACATGTAGCCGAAAGAGCTGCAGCAAGTCCAGTTCTGGCTCCGACGGAAATTATGTTGGGCCTAGGTTTAAGCCATGATAGGCACTGACTGGCCAGTCCGACTTCTAGGCTCTGTGACTCTGCAACTTCTGCTTGTGATTCCGGGCTCGAGAATTGAAACATCGGAGCCTTGCTTCTGATACCAGGTTTCCCAGTAGCTTCTTAGATGGCATCGACGTCATGTTGCCGGTGGTTATCAGAGGAGAACCCTGCAGTGCAGCCAAGTTGGCGCACCATTCTCCACACAGCCCGGTCACATGCTTCTCATGTGGCCAAACCTCATCAGTCAAGCCGGTTCTGGCTCTGCTGGCGGCATCGGGAGCACAGCTGTCCTGGCGGTTTGTGAGCTTGGCGAGCCACGCGAAGGGGTCCGGAAGGCGACGTCTCGGGAGAACCCAGGCACTTCCGGTGCTTGCGGAGCTGCGAGCTGCTGTGCCTCCTCGAAAGCTCGTCGTCATATCAGGTTCTCCGGAATGGACAGAACGTACGGGGAGAGAACTTCTTCGCATCATGGAAGCAGAGGCCCTGTCGAGTTGCGGCCGCAAGCTGAGGGCACTTGTGGCCCAGGATTTCAGGGCGGACAAGCCGCCACCGATCTCCGAGTGGATGGGCCAAGAGATCGATGCTGCGTTGCTCTCTGTTCAGAGACTAAACTTTCTTGACACCTTTGGTGCGGTTTGCGGAGCCCTTCGTGGTGGAGGCGTGCTTGTCCTTTGCACACCCGACCTCGAGGATTGGAAGGTTTCTAGTGCGGGAGGAGGGTGGTGGTGCAGGGAGATCGAGGCCCTGAGCCGGAAATCAGATTCTCCATCCTTTACGTGCTTTCTCAACCAGGCCTCAGAAGAGGCATTCAGCCTGGATCTGAAATCTGCAATGCCAGTTTGGCGACGGAGCGACCCGCCCGATATAGTTGCAACAGCCGATCAGCAGCGCATTGTCGAAGCCGTGATGCAAACCAGCAGCGCCAGCCCACTGCTGATTTCAGGGAGGCGTGGTCGTGGGAAGTCTGCAGCCCTCGGGCTGGCAGCCACCGTTCTGCTGCGGCGAGGCTGTGAGAAGATCCTTGTGACTTCGCCATCGAGGGAATCCACAAAGCAGCTTTTTGATTCGGCGGAGCGCGCTGCCCGAGCTGTCCACACAGACTTACGAGTGGCTCGCCAAGGTCCTGGATGCCTGGAAGTTGGGCAGGTCGGAAGCTTGAGATTTGTTGCAATTGGCGAGCTTCTTGGGAGCAAAGGCCAGGATCTTCTGCGCAGCTGCCAGTACCTCTTCGTGGATGAGGCAGCTGGAATTCCTGTTGCAGAGGCCAAGCGGCTACTGATGAGGACCAGGCGTGTGGTCATGGCAACAACTCTGGATGGCTACGAGGGAAGCGGCCAAGGATTCCTTCTGCGCGCGCTGCCTGCGCTCCGAGCGACCAAGCGAGACCTACGCCACCTTCAGCTGACGGCACCTCTGCGGTGGAGATCCGGCCCGAGGCCCAGAAGCCCAATCGCAGCCATGTGCCGCCCAGCCTCGGCGAAGGGAAGCGAGCAAGCAACGTCTGCAGGCAAATGGCTCAAATTCGCAGTCGCATCATCCGATCGCACTTGTCATTCAGGAAGTCCTACTCGTACATACTCTCATAGGGGTCGAACAGCTGAAGGACAAGACAAAGCCACAACAGGACAGTGAAGGGATTTGTCGTGAGAGCTTGCAAGATCAAGGCAGCATGGGGAATCTCACAGGCAGGCTGTCAAGGAACATCATACATCGCATGGCTTCTTTGCCTGATTTGTGTGGTCTGGGCCGCAGGTAGAAGTGCCTCAACAGATGGAATTTCCCTTGAAGAGATAGAGAAGCACAACACGAAGGCACAACACAGACTTCCAAATCTGAATTCTGGTTTGCGTTTCGCTCTTGAACAGGATGATGCCTGGATGGTTCTGTTCGGGGAAGTGCTGGATGTTACGAAGTTTCTTCCGATTCATCCTGGCGGCGACTTGGTCCCGATTAAGGTTTATTTTAGGCTGGACTAGACACTGCACCTGCGCTTCATGCAAAGTGCCTCAAAGCGAGAAGTGCAGAACTCGTGTTTCTGCATGTCCCCCCGGCGCACACACACCTACACAAAGATGCAAGCCGCGGAGACTTTTGATGCATCAGTGCTCTGTGTGGCACTTCGCCAAGAGGTGAGGATGCCATCGACATGCGCCCCGCTGACAAGTGGCTTTGTGGTTGGCGGCTGGTAAGCATGTTCATGTTCGCACATATTTCAGGTACCTGGGGCGAGATGCCACAGAAGCCTGGGTGGAGATTCACACACCAGAAACCCTTGAAAGGACCCTCTACTGCAAGCAGCGCCTTTTGATGGGGCCACCTTGTGTTGGGCCGCGCAGCAGAGTCTGAGATCTAAGGAACCTGCACCATATCACCAAAGTCGGGAAGTTGCAGGCAGTGCCCTTCTGTGCCTTTCTCTCGCGAACCTGTTTCGATGCCAGGAGCGGGGCGGATTGATTTCCTGGCTGTTCAATCGCCTTACCGCTCGCGGAGCTCCCAGTTCTTGCCAGCGACCGCCTCAGAAGCCGAAAGCTAAGCTAAGGTCCGAGTCAGCCTGAGCCAGGGCCTCGGCCTCGGCGCCTCCGCTTGTGAGGACTAGACTGCTTGTAGGGGGCCTCTTTTTGCATCCCACCAAGGACAGCTGCTGCTGCGCCCACACAGCAGGAGGAAGAGGACGACAGAGGCATCTTGCAGCTTTGTGCTCTGACTAACCTTTTGCTGTAATGCTTTGGGGCGGATGCAGCGTGCTGGTTTAGACTCTGCAGGCCTCCAGTTCACGCCACAGTTTGAAGAGGACTGCCCGTCGACCTTCACGGACTCTGTGTGTTCATCCATCGCACATCGCAGCTTGACGGTGGAAGGAGCTGCAGGCCACGAACGGCGTCTTTACCCTCGAATCCTTGCAGCGCTGGAATGGAGTCCAGTGGCGTGGCAGCTTAGAGACAGTGACACACCAGACACGGCCCTCCAAGATTGAAGGTTGCCCATGCTCATCAGCATCTGCGGAGTGGTGGTGGATGCAACTTGGCCGCATTTCTCCGGCAAGTTTGGAGCTCCTCTGCCGGCCACCGGCCAGGTATCTCCGAGTGAGAACTTCATCCCGACCTTCGGATATGGAAAGCTGTGGGCTGGAAAGGACGGGCAAAGCGGCAACAGCCTTGGCTTAGCCTTGATGAGATGAGCAGACAGGATTGCACATGGGCCATGGCGACAGCTACTTGCATGCATCAGACTTGAGAGAGTGCTAGGCCGTTCTGCTTTTGTCATCGCTGTCAGAGACTCTGCAAGCTTGGAGGTCTCCCTGAAGGCAGAGGATGCCAACCGCTTCGACTGGAAGGTGCAGGAGATTGCCTGCGGATACTGTCTGCTCACAGAGTGAGCACCAGCGAGGAAAATGGAGAGCGAGAATTCCCAGGGCTAGTGCAACATGCGATTAGACCGAGGCAGTGACTGCAGTGAAGGCTTTGGTTGGGGGGGTTGCAAGGGTGCCGCGACCTCGGCAAAGTGCCAGTGCAAGGCTAGGGGGACGTCAGGCAGGTGGGCAGTGAGTGCGCGGTACATGCTTCGGTTTGGTTCCAAAAAATCGGGGATTTCAGGTTGGCCAGCCGAGTCACTGTTAAGGACGAAGAGTGGTTTGAGGGTAGCAAGTAGGACGCACCTTCTTGGGTTGTCGGGGCAAAGGCTGCTACACAAGCCATGTATCCAGCCAATAATCCGGCGTCCCTCAACGGGAGGCTCGCCCTTCAAGCCTGGTGAAAAAAAGAGCGAGATAAAGACAGAGGCGTCTTTGTTTGACCTTCGCGCATGACGCAGGAGCTTGAGGACATGCACTTCAAGTCTCTCGTCGGCTGGTACGGTCACTTCACTAACAAATACCGCCAGGCAAGCACACGGTCATGGTCGCTTTGCCATCAAAGCTTCTTAGCTTTTGTTCTTTGATAGCGGCTTGATCACTGCATTCTGGCAGGTCGGCATTCTGGAGGAGCTGAAAGACTGGGACTTTGCCGCTGTTAAAGCAGAGGCGAAGGCAGAGCCGCCGAAATTCTCCATGTTGCATCACTTTTTGGAGTAAGTACTCGTGGAAGGTCAACGTCAAGTGAAAGGAGTGCTTGAGATGTTGCACACGTGGCGATGCGTGGTTTCACTTTCTTGCACAGCTCTCTTTTCCAGCCATAAGGCATCGTGCTGTGTTCTAGTCCCGTCCGACTTGAAGCCCTGACAGGTAGAGTGCAAGGTGTAACGAGTCTTTGAACAATTCTGAACCATGTCCTGACCCTGCCCATCCAGTACTATGTGTCAACGGGATCTCGTGTTCGTTCATGATTCAACCGGCAGCAGACTCCAGTAGAGTCGATGCTGCCGTCCTGTCACACGACAGGATCTTTCATGAGTCCTTTTGCCAAAAACCTCTCATTATTCGCAAAAAGACTCCAGCAAGGACTGCAATGATGGCAAGTGGCACCGATCACGAAGCAAATCGCTGTGCGGTGAATCCATCGCGTTGTCTTCCGAGGCTGTCCGCTGGAGGACTTGTCCAACAAACTGCTGATGCTGAACGTCGCACACTTAGTCCCTCCCGGCGCTTGCGCAATTCACCCTCAGAGGACGATGACAGCTTGTGATGTTTTTGCTTTTTGATCGCCGCACACCTCTTGTCTCCCAGCAGAGGCGTTGGAAGCCAAGACATGGAAGTTCTATTGCCAACATCCCTAGAAACACGCGATCCAGCACTTAATCACAGACGTCAGCCTTGGATCCAAACCTGCTCGAATACATGTGTGTTCATGTCGGATGCCTTCGGCACCAGCACGGCAGGAGCCGTCTGCCCGCAAGGGGGCCCGCACCTGCATGGGCTGCATCTGTCCTCACGTTCCAATAGAGGAGTCATCTTCCGATCCACGCATTCGGGAGTAGCACGGAGGCAGCTCTAGATTTGTTTGCAACTTCGAGAGTATCTTCGTTGTAGCTTGAATTGCAGGGCGGTGCCGCCACGGCCACGAGGCTCAATTTTTGAATGCTTTGGCAAACGTCGTAGCAACACCACACGAAATGAGGACAGAAGAGAGGTAATATTTTCCGGCGAGGTAAGTTTCCTCACTGTCTCTCGACCGTTGACTTGTATCTTGTTCTGGTCCAGCAGGCGAAGCTCCGGATGGCGGTTGGCGTACTTGGCACAGGGGGGGAGGAAGCAGAGAGCTGATGGCAGGTTGGTCGCTGAACTTAGGCCGACCACGTCACCGATTCACCATCGAGGGAGTCGCATCCAGAACTCAAGGCCTCGTCTGGCACAAGCCTAAAAAGTTAAGCCCAGCTCTGCGCCCCAAGTTTTCGGATGCCAGGAGCCGAGGCCAGGACTTCGAGCCGAGCCCGCAGAGTCCCGTCTCGCAGTTGTGGTCCACTGCCCTTCGCAGTTTCGACCTGTCGCAGGCCTTCCCCAGCGCCAGGTGGGCCCTGGCGCAGAGCGGCGTTCGCGGTCGGGAGCATTCTGAGCAGGCGGCAAACATCCTGGTACAGACAGGTCTCTGACGGACAGCAGGCAGGCGCAGTGGTGTAGTCGTGAGTACCAGCTACCCTGCAGAAATGCTGAGTTGAAGGGGAGAAATTCCATCCTGCCTCAGCGTGCAAGCAGCCTCGTGCTGACCCAAGTGGAAATGGGATGATGTTTTCGACCCGCAGACTGCGAGCACACTCTAGCACAGCGCCCTTGCTGCATTCAGGATGCGACTGAGCATGTGAACCCGCCGTGCAGTCTGAGCTGCTGTGCTGGATGGATGAAATCGCTTCAAGCATCGACCTGGTCTAGGCAGTCTGCAGCAGTTTGCATGGTCGCTTGGCAGTTTAAGGTATTGTGCCTGGCGGCCCGGTGCTCAATCGCCGCCGCCGAGGAAGCCTCTGTTGACTTCAGATTGTCTTCTAAGGCAGCTCCTTCCTGAAGGGAAGCTCCAGTGGCTCCGCACAGCATGGAACTCGCCTGCCATCAAAGGAGGAGCCTGGGTCCCGTTTCTTCCACCAACCTCCCACAAAGTGTCCTCGTCCTCTCATCTGCCGAGGCCACCAAGTCGGAACAGAAGCATTGGTGGATCGCAGGCCCCAAGTCAGCGGAGAAGACCTTGTGCCCTTGATGCCCCATGTAGATGCGGTGGAGTCGCCAGAGATCGCCTGGTACATCTGGTGACCACTGGAATGGTCTTCTTCCTGAAGTGCCGGGTATCCCTGCGGCAAGCCAGCAACTGAGAATCGGCAAAGTGCTCGAGAGACCGTGGGTTTGTGTGTCAGCAGGCCATGCCGTCCAGGAGATGTGCTTAGCTCAGCCATTTCTTCTGCTTGCCTTGCGAACGGTTGTTGATGACGGCGGGACTGCTTTTGAGGCCGGCGCGAGATGGCAGCACCATTCACATTCCTCCAGAGCTTCTGTCAGGCCTCGATTCGTGTTGCGCTCCTTGCGGCAATGGACATCCGGAGCAATGGAACACATTAACATCAGGTGATCACGATGCAGAATCCATGATTTCCAGTGCAAGCAGCTTGGATGCAACGCTAGATTCAAGCAGGACACAAGATGTGATCATATGTTATCATGATCGTGGCCAGCCAGGTTTCGTGGCATTCGCCGAGACACTTGTTGAGAACTGTGGCTCACTCGTGAGGGTCAGGAGCTTGGTCGGAGTCGATGGAGCCTGTTGAACATAGATTGATGGATTGCGGGGGTGGAGCCAACCAAGGCTTTCAACTTCTTTGACTACAATCATACGGGCAAGGCTGTGTTCTTGTGCATTACCAGATGCAGCATAATATCCTGCCTTCTGCACGGCCCTTCGACAAATTTCAGTAGGATGCCACGTAAATCTTGATCTGACTCTGCCACACTTTGGAAGATGATGATTGCCTTGTTTTTTGTCTTTTGCTCGCGAACGTGTCCTGTCGTTGTTTCATCTTCGGGCAGGTCACCCGCACCCAGTGGGATGCAGGCATCTCCTCCCTGCACATTGACGTTCAGGCGGAGCGTTTTTCGAAGGCAGAGGTAGGCAATTCAGAGTCGTGGAATCGCACAGGCTTTGTGTGGGGTGTCGACCAAGCAGGTGCAAGTCTCAGAAGTTGCCGGCGTTTATCATAAAGCTGAGACGATCATTCACAGAAATCAAGCTACTTGATAGAACTGCGTGGTTTTGGCAATTGACTTTTCCGATGGAGTGGCATGACTGTGCTCGAATGATATTCGCCTTCAGCAGACAGGTCTATAAGATGATGGACTCCATTCGCGGACACGGCAAAGGCGAAGTTCAGCTTGAGAAGTGCAGTCCCGAGGAATACTGTGGTGTTTTATGGTCTCGATATCGGCATCAAGAACACGCGTGCTACGTCTGAGTCTAGGGACTACTCGCAAAGGTGGATCGCCTTCTTCGAGCAGCACCTGACGCCCCTGCACACGCATCTGCTCGACGAAGACCGTGGTGACATGTCCCGGCCTTTGACCCTGTGTTGTTGTGTTTTGCTTTCTTCTATGTGTTTTTTCGGCTTTGGACGTTTCTTTGCAGAAGGCGAAACCGGCGCTGGAGCCAATCCAGCCAAACAAGCCAGAGCAGCCGCGGACGCCGTGGCGCGGCTTACTCGGCTGTTGCCCACGGCAGCAAAGTCCCTGCACAAGCCAAGGTCCCAGTTTCAGCAACCGAGCCAGCGAAGAGGTTCGAGCAGGCGCAGATTCTAGGTTCCCTGCCATAGCCTCCTTGACCAAACTTCCCAACGAAGCGGGTTGTTACTGAATCATCTGCACAAACGCGTCTTCTGACGATCCCTTACTGGGGCTCACATGAGTCGGGTCGAGTGAAATCCACGTGCCGAGCATGATTTGCGGCTCTGCTGTCCGAATTACGTCCAATGCCGGCACTTTGACACAGCATCGTGCACACAAGTCCATGAGCACCCCGCGCCGCGAAGGTAAGTCAAACTTGAGCGGAGTCCATCAACCGGCTCCTGCCCAAGCCAAGCTTGATAAATCAGATGTCCATCCGTCCAGTCATAACGCGACAGCAACGCGTTTATGTCTGATCTGGCTCTTGCTGCAACATCCGTGACATTTTGGGAACTTACAATGTCGTTGTACCGTTGAAACGTTGCAGGCATGTCCCCAAATGTTCGGATCACAGCTGACGACAGGCCTTGATCAGCATCTTGCATGCCCATCAGTGTGGTCTGAATACCCACGACATGGTGAGGGACACACGCCCAAGGTCCAGTGCTGTGCATAGTTGGAATGGGCTCCCAAACAGCAGCCGCAGCTATCATTCGATCCCCGGCTCAAACTCCGTTCTACCTAGTCCTCGATGGCAGCCTGCACTTTCGCAGGGTCGTCACGAGTCGTCATTCTGCTTTTGCGTTGCAGGAGAGCAGAGAGGCGACAAAACTCCTTAATCTGTTCATGTTGCTGGATTTTCGTCGAAATCGCCATGGTGACCCGGGCTGACTGCGATGGACTCCATGCCCACCTCATCCCCACCAAACTTGGATGGTCACGAAATCATTTGTACAGCCACATCTTGTGATCACATCCTGGCTTAATACACCACGTGCTTTCCAAATTCCTTTCCCTGTAATTTCTCTGGTGGGATACAGACGTGGGCCGAAAATCGTCGGTCCATTCGAGAGCAACGTGCGGCGCGCGCCTTGGAAGCTGTGACTTGCTCTCATAAGCAGGGCCGATGTGTCTCCATGTGCCGGGCATGATCTGCCGAAATTCGAGCCCTTGGTGGGGACAAATCATCACGTACAGAAGTAACTGAACATATTTGCTGTCAGGACGTGCTTCCAGCAAATCCGCGCGGAGTGCCAGCAAGCGCAGTGGCGTTGCAGCAGAGACCGCTCCGGTTCCATCTTGGGCTGCATTGTAGGCCAGTCTTACAGCTTTTCCGTTCCTGTGATAAAC